CATCTACTATCAGCTCTGGTTTCTTGAAGATCTCAATCACAAACCAAAAAACTTTATTTGCAACTATGTACCAACACTGGTGGTAGAACATCGACGGGAAACCATCCTTTCCCATGGCCTTAAATCCCCCCATGATCTTGATTGCCCTCCAAACTTCATCATGACTGATTTCCCTTGTCAAACATTTCTCCGCCAAACGAGTTGTTATGGGACAATCCAAGTACCACATCGGTTGTACAAGGGAAGGAACCTTGTATATTAGTGTGCATCTAGCCCAATTAGTACGAGGCCTTTTGGGGAGGACACCCAAGAGTAAAACCGTGCAGGCTTGGCCCAAAGCGGACAGTATCGTACTAATTGAGCTCTGATACCACTTTTACTAATTGGGCTAGGTGGACACTAATATACAAGGATTCCTTCCCTTGTACAACCGATGTGGTACTTGGATTTTCCCATAACAATCCTCCCCTCAAGACAAGGACCACAAACTTTGTGTCCTCCCCTCAGCGATTATCTTGATCTGCTAGACACCTTGTATCGATGGGCTTCTTGGTACAAGGTTTTCCCAAACGCAGAACTCTCTTTAATCCGTCAAACAGACGTGGATCTCTCCTAGATCCACCAGACAGACGCGAACCTCCCTTGTTCCACCAAACCAGATGTAGCCCAAACGTGGATCTCTCGTGGATCCAACAAACCAGACGCAGATCTCAAATTCTGAGGTCACTGAACGAGGGTACACAAAAGTGATGTCCACTGCCCCGGATCCGCCAAACCAGACTCTGATACCACTTTTCATAACCGGAGAGCTCAATTAGTACAATACTGTCCACTTTGGGCCAAGCCCGCACGATTTACTCTTGAGTGTCCTCCCCAAAAGGCCTCGTACTAAGTGGACTAGGTGGACACTAATATGCAAGGGTTCCTTCCCTTTTACAACCGATGTGGTACTTGGATTGTCCCATAACACGAGCCAACCGAGGGAAACATGCCGGCAGATCGGGTGCCGGACCTGGCTTATGGACTATTGGAGTTTGGTAAGCCACTGTTGATTTCATAGTGCTCTATCTAGCCGTGGAGAGAGAAAACCCCTCTGCCATGTGAAGTGTAGACAAGATAAATTTATCTCCACAAGAACACTCTTGTCAATGCACTTCATGAACAGTCTTTCACAAGCGTCTTAATATAGCGTACCACCTCAATATCGAATTGAAGTCGCCAATCAACACCCATGGAATTGAGATTCATTTAGAGATGCATCAAATCTCATCCCATAGATGTTGAGGCAAGGCAGCATTAGGGCTTCCATAAACTACAAAGACCTCCACTGTACCTCCATTGCCACTCAGTTTGGTGCAAAGAACATGGATAATTTGCTCCCAGTTAGAAATGACGGTCACGAAAAGCTGCTAACAATTCCAATTGACCCATATTCCATCTGAGAAACCAGTAGCATCCATAATGAGAGATCCATCAAAACATGTGCCACAAAAGACTCTCCTACCAGTATCTCCACTAATCTGTGGTTCAACAATAATAACCATATCCAATTGCGACCCAAGAAATTTCTCAAATGAACTAAAAGCTATCGCTACCTGCCGTCTGGAAATTCCAAGCTAATATATTTAACATAACAAAGATTAAAAGTACACAATAAGAGGGGACTCCTCGGCAAGCCGAGGCTTGGTTACTGCAAAGATCTGCTGGAAGGAGGCTTCCCTCCTTTCTTTGAACTCATTGGAGCTTTCTTTTTCTTATTATTGCTCTGATTGGCACTTCCACTCGGTTGACATTTTCAATTGAGACGTAGTGGTGGTTTTCATTGTGGAACCCAGCTTGACTACATCTTGCCCGAGTTTGTAGCTCCCTTAACTACAAGGTCTTCCGGGGTACGAGCCACACCCTCTTTTTGACGAACCGTGATGTCCACAAGCTCTTTCCCATGGGTCTCCTTGGGTGGAGCTTGGGTCACACGTATTTCACTTCTTAGCTGGACAAAAGAAGAAGGGCATGTGCATTCTCCTCCCTTAGTTTGCATGTTGGATCCGGGGTCGTGACTCCTCTTGGAGTAGGGGCTTCCTTACTTGAGGTGGGCTTGGTTTCCATCTCTATTGTCTCGTCCTCATCTAATGCCGTGAAACAAGAACCTGTAGCACACGCTGAATCTTCTGGAGGAAGGTTCACGCCAACAGTGGTTTATGTGGTTTAGGGCTTTGCCTAGGGTTTCTTCTATTTGTTATGGGACCTCAACTTAGCCATCACCTACTCACCATGTATAATTTTCTGCTCGGCCTTTTCTTTCGTCGATAGTGACTCATTAGCCGAAGGAGTTGTCTCCATTTTGAAGAGGGTTGGGCAAGTCAGCTTCACATAACCATCACGCCCACATTCTGTGCAAATGTGGTGTAAGCCCTCAAACTCCATATAGTACGTGATCCCTTCAATTTTGTACTGAGAGAGTAATGGTTTTGTCAAGTCTACCTCAACACAAACTCGGGCAAAGCGCCCCTGGTAAGATGTTTGAGTGGCTCTATCGACATGGAATGGCCGACCAATACGAGTAGCAATTCTTTTAACATCCTCTTTGTTGATGAATTCCCTGGAAGCCCTTCAGGCTCTCCCAAACCATAGTTGAAGCTACCTCAACTAGCTTTGGGTTGAAATTCTTTCATCATGATCTCACGGTGAGGTGATACTCTCCAATTATCCATGGGCCTCCTATAGTTGTTTGTTCATAGTCAAACTGGCTCATAAAGTGAAAAGTATAGAAACCATATGAGAGGCTCGAAATTTAGAGCATACCACACTTCGCCCATAGCAATTCGAGTCTCCGAGAAAGGATGGGGAATGGGAACCTTCGTCCCAGAACTTTAACCAATAGAGCTGAATGCCACTCCCCGTCTCCATCTTTGTTTTCTATGGCTAAATGGGATTGTCGGACAACATGGATCATCATCCTCCGTAATCTCGTCATTTAGGTTGTCTTCTCGCATGGCGGTTGCCACACCCTTGGAGTATGATTTCGCAACATACCACTCGTCCTCGGCTAGGAGATCGCTAAACAGCTTCTACGCCCCCACCCTAGGGAGAAATTTCTTCCCCATCTCTTGGTGATGTATTCACCACAACCTTTATATTGATCGTGTTATCATTCATCGGTTCCGTCCGAAATAGAGGGTTGTTGCACATAGGTTTCGCCCGCTTCTTGGGATGTTGAGTCTCCATGTTGCCCTTTGCATTAGGAGAGGACATCGTAGAGGGAGGCTTACGAACGCACATGCTGAAATCTAGTTGCTCGATACCCATGGGACTCACCCCAGGGTCAGGCTCGATCATCTGCGGCTAGAGGGAAAATCGCCAGGTAAGCGTAGCTCCGAGAAAATAAGAGCTAAGGTTTCCTCCGAAGAAAAACAATTTAATATGAAATGTTATGTGACCTTAAAATTTTATTCACCTATACTTTCTACTATTTTTTTGTGTGGAGAAGATTGATGCAAGGTGACATTCAAATGAACTACACTAATCATTTAGTTTTTTCTCACAACATCATTAAAGTATGACCTATCTGTAATATTCCAAGTATCGAGAGAGTTAAACAAGTTCTCCTCCACCATGCCAAGGATATGTAAGAAGCTTTCAGATCTCTACTAGTGATGTCTAGTGCATATGTGACCGGCATACATAATGCTAGTGAGGTATATTTCGAGAAATCTAGTGGCTTCGCGTCTACAATGCGCCATTGCATCTACTCTCTTTGTTGAAGAGTATAAGACAAGGCTATATCAATGTATGGCAGGACAATAATCATTCAGATATTGATTTTGTTGAGTCACTTGACACACTGAACGACTTAATCATTCTCTTGGAGTTGCTTAACTCATATATCCATTAAATAACACCTCAAGACTTCCAGGCAGAAAAATGCAAGATGTTCAACTACATTAACTCATTCCAAAATGTTTTCCTCGGTATGACAAGCATTGATACACAAATTTGCTTGCTACAAGACTAAACTACATCTTCAAAACGATCCAATATTATGGCCTATTACCTATTAACGGGCATAGAAAACTTAAAATACAAAAAGAAAACATGTACATTTTACTTTGCTTTCAAGAAGGAAATTGCTCATCATTTTAAAGAAACTAACAAATACTCAAATAGTATGCCTACGATGAAATGCAACTTATTTCTGCTATGAAGGGAGACTCAAATGCCCCGACTCTAGGTGTGATGTTTATGACCATTCAACTTGATTGAAAGAGCGATTCTTTCATTCATGTTAACATAAAATGAATTGTTAGCCTTAAACAGGTTCTGTAAACAAAAAGGAGACAACTGTTAAGACTTAACAAAAAGATCGCAGTTTCAGTTCAGTCTTAACTTGCACATGGTGGTGATGCAATAGCTTGTTATTTGGTGAATCAAACTCTAATGATGCCATGAGAGCTACAACCTCCTATTACCCTTAAGATTTCAACCCTCAAATAACTAAATGCAATGCATTTGAGTGTTCTAAATTAAGAATAACCCATCAAAAGTTTTCGTTAACAACCTCCCAAGAAAATTGAAATCTCCACTAATTGGACGTCATTAAAAGGGCAATTTGAATGGAACCAAACAAATAATTAAAGAAAATAATAATTATTATAATAAAAGAAGAAGAACATTCGGGACAAAAAAGGTCATGTCATATTAAGAGAACCATTAAAAATTTTGATGGTCAATATCCAAAGTTCCTTCCCAAACAATTAATTTTATCAAAAGAACTCTCTGTACTCTGTTCCTAACTAAAATAAAAATCCCAATTTCCATATTCGACCCCAACAAATCAAGTTATTTCCTTATACAAGACGGGAGAAAGAAAGAGAAGAGGAAGGCCTCGAAGCTTCAATCGAAACAACCAAAAGGGGAATTCAAACAATCCCATTCCAATTGGAAATCGCACAATCTCTCTTACAGTCCGGAATCAAATCCCCTTCCCATTCAATCTCAGTATCCTAGTAAAGTACCCAACTTTGTTTATTTTAATTGGCTACTAAAACGTTATTTGCACAGCCAGAGCAATCAGCCAAGAGTCGGGATTCAACAGAAAGCGACCGCCTTTCGGCTCCATTCTAGCGTATGTAGCCGTGATCCCAACAGGGTCCAGTTTGCTTTCGTCGAATTCGTTCGTTTTTCTAGAGAGAGATTGAAATGGGGAGGTTTTGGGTTTGGTCATGGAGGAGAAGGTAGATAGAAATAGAGACAGAGGCAGTGGCAGTGGAGACAATAATGGAAGACGAAGTGCTTGGATCAATGGGAACAAGCGCTAGCTTGGCACTGAGATTGGGACAGGCCTTCTTCTCGACTGCTTCGCTTCTGTTCATGTGCCTGCACATCGATTTCTATAACTACACTGCTTTCAGGTATCCCTCATGTCTTTCAATTCCCCCCTCCCATTTCTGGGTTTTGTTGTCTTTAATTCATTTGTTTCTGGGGTAGTTTGAGGAGTTCCATGATCATTCCTTGTTGTCAGAACTCAAAATTATGTGTTGGGGGGTTTTGGTGAAAGCTGCCAAACTTTTCTGATTTTCAGTTTTTCCCCTTTCATTTTGAGACCCTCTTCTCTATGCCACTTCATGTCATCATTCATCACTGTCGTTGTAACCTGATTAGGGATGGCAACAAAACCCGAACTCACGGGTACCCTACTCGACCCAACTCGGTCAACGTTGGTAAAACCCGTGTTGACGGGTTTTGGGCCGGGTTCGGGTTTAAACCCATTCATTATTTACTGGGTTGGGTTGGGTTTGAGTTTAGTTCAACCCGCCCCATGGGTACCCGCCTACACCCATATAATTAATTTTTTTGGTATACTTAATATTCTAAACAACTTATCTTCGTTATGTTTGTGGAGACATGTCTAATTTTTTCTTTATAATTGTGTATAATGAAGTTGATATTATCGAGTGGAGAGTGAAGAAGCTTAATTGACAAGGAGAAAAAGCTTTCAATTAATCATGTTGTCTATGGATAATTTGTGATTTGCTTCAATTTTCTTGAGTTTTCTAGATTGGTGTTGAACAATTTGTATAATTAATTTTTTATTTGCTTGAATTTACTAGAATGGTGTTTTATATATGGATAACTTGTATTGAGAGATTGATATTTGACTTTAATTTTAATAGGAACTTGTTATTGTAAATTTTTTAAGACAAAAACCCGTGAGTACCCATGAACCCGCGGATACCCAGCGAGTTGGGTTGGTTTGAGTTTTTCAAACCCAATGATTTTTACACCGAATTTTTTCCACATATAAAATCATGGATTTGGGTTTGCGTTTGACCCAACCCGACCCAACTCGACCCATTGCCATCCTAACTCTGATCATGGCTGTAAGGAATCGTTAGGTAGGAGGAATTGTTGCTGATGAATTGCGATGATTTGGATGATGGATTTCTGAAATGAACCAATTTGACTCAATTGTCCCATAAAAAACCACCGTTTTACTTTCTCAAGTACATGCCCCTTTTCCGTCTAGTCAGAATGATGCAAAACGGTGCAATTCAAATTGCCTTATCCCAATTTTTGCATCCTCGTTTTGTGTTTTCAAACAAGCTTATTTAACCGAATTGCTTTATTTTGAAGCAATTGGGCCAAATGACCTCAATCCAATTCCATCATCCAACCCATTGGAAATACATGATTTTTTTTAATGTCTCCCTTCTCATATCGATACGAAATTCATGTATTCATCGGCTACGAAATTGGTTGTTTCATGTTGCTGCTTATAAATTTCAGGCGTAAATTTTTTATCAACAACAGATTATTTAAAATGGACTTTATTCTAAAACCAATACTGGATTGTTGATCTTTCAAATCAAGCACTCTAATCTACACTCTTAACGATCTTAATCTCACCACATGAATTTTGAAATCCATGTATTCCACCATCTCTATAGCAACAAACGTCCCATGATTGATCTTGGTTACTTACTGCTTCACTGATGGTAAAAAACAACAGCTACTTGGTGACAGTAATGGGACTAATGATCCCATGGAGCCTAACACTAGTAATGGTGGATGCATACTCTGTCTTCATCAAGTATCTGCCTCACCAGCCAAGGATCCTATTGATCATCATAGCCGGAGATTGGGTAACACAAAATTTTCCTTGCTCTGTTTTTGGTTTTGCAACGGAACTTGTCGTTGCTCTTTGTATGCCTCGAGTTCACAGCCTTGGTAAAATGCAGGTTTTGTCATTTCTGTCGCTGGCGGCGGCCTGCGCGACAGCAAGCGTCACAGACCTGTTGGTGGACGCAGGTGGCTCGTTCTGCCCGGCCAAGTCGTGTAGCAGGTTTCAGCTGTCGGCGACCATGGCGTTCTTGTCTTGGTTCCTCTCTTTTGCTTCTTCTCTCTTCAACCTCTGGCTTCTTCCTTCTTTGTAGTACTCACCAAATGGCGATGATTAGAGAACATTGATATCTCCAAGTTCTTCCAAGATTAGTACAGCTAGGTCTGGACGGTTGATCCAATTCATTGTGGGTTCGAACCTTCATCCCGATTCTCCGATTCATTCCAGATTTGAACCTTTTTTTTTAGAGCCGATTTTGTAGTCTTTTTGGAATGGGCCTTAATCTTTAGAACGTGTAGTCGTAAATCTTTTGCAATGATTTGGTTGGATGTTTTTAAAATATAAGTGAAATTTACTATGAAATATCGTTCACAAAAATATATCATCTCAAATAGATATTATGACGATTTTGTGTGTATTGTTAATAGTACCACGTAACAAATACACCCTGCTACGATATTTATTGTTATGACTAACGATTTTGGCACATAACTACTCCTGCTCTCATATATATATATGGTCGTCCATTGAAACAGAGGAGTCGAGTTTTTCGACCAATATCAATAGTCAACTAAACGTTTGTTGTTGTCATAGTATGTTACAAGAATCATCTCGAAAAAACACATCGTATTAACCTAAGGGGCTGATGTTCACCTCTTTCTTAACCCACAAACAAGACTCTGTGGCTTTCTTTGTTTTTGTTTCGATCTGTTTAATGCTCAGCTTGCTGCTGCCGACACTGGAGGACTGTGCAGTTAGCCACCATTTTGGCTTTGGATTCGATTTGGTAGAGAGAGCTTTGAAGGGCGATCCTAGTCCATTCGCTGTGCTGTTCTGTGCATAGGTACATTGACTACTCTACTCTACTTGAGGGGGGAAATGATGAAGCCTAAAAGATGATCATAAATTTGAGCAATCTGGATGATCGAAATGATGAAGCGAGATACGTGTGACACAGTCGTAGACTTATAGCACATAGCAGATTAGGTTCGATGTTGAGATTTAAAATAGCAAAATTACACAAACCCATTAACCTTCTTCGTCGCATTTGGGCTAAACCCGTAAAAAAACATATAAAATAAATGAGTTATATGTATAATATGCTCCTTTACTATGTCGTTTTATCAAACATACCCTCTACTATGTTTTACATCAAACATGCTCCTATATTTGGACGAATCATAACCGTCGATTATTGTTTCTAATTAAATTGATCTTGGAGTATAAGATTGGGAGAATTAAGACCTAGATTTTGATCGTTAAAGGTTAGAGTTTAGTATCATGTCTGAAAGATCGATCAATTCAAGGTCTGCATAGTATTTTTATACTCAAGATATATGCTACCCCTAATTTTACCCAAAGTACTGTAGAACTCAATATATATAGCTTTCATTAAGTCTATTCAAAGAAAGGGAATATATATTTATGGACAATAATATTTTTATTATTAGATCACTCAAAATGAGGGTACAAACCGATAATTACATAGACCGCTGAGAAGTACATTTATTTGACAAAGTAACAAAGTCAAACCCATTTAACATACGAAGGGGGAAAAAAACAGTTAAGAATTGGACTTGATACCTCTTACCTATTAAATAAGGCCCAAAGTATTGCTAATTCATCCACCAAGTAGTCCAGCCCACTCTTATTTGACATACTTGGCCACGAAATGCAATGCAAACTTAAGGCTCGGATACTTGCGTTACTAAGGAAGGCCCATTTTCAAGGTGTCGAACCCAGTAATTAGAACAAGGGTAAATACATTTAATATTCAAACCTTTCATTTTAAACAATATAATAGTCAAACTTTTTCGAAAACAATCTAATATCTAAAACGCCAATTTTCCGTCCGTTTGGCCGTTAGTTGACACTTCAAAAAAGCTTTGTTTAGGGGAAATTGTCATAATACAACTTTGTTTTCTTGTTTTGGCTTTGCAGATGACTGAATATTTAGATATTCTATACCATCATGGTGGAGTCATAGACTTCTCGTGTTTGGAACCACGATATGTTGGTGGTTTTTCAAAGAAGATATCGATGGATATTGATGAAGTGTCGTACTTCGAACTTGATGAAGTGTGAACTAATGGTCAAACGGACGGAAAGTTGACGATTTGGATATTAAATTATTTTCGAAAAATTTTGGCTATTATATTGTTTAAAATGAAAGGTTTGGATATTAAATTGTATTTACCCTATAAAAACGAGTAAGATTTGAGCCTAAAAGATGATCATAATTTTGAGCAATTTGGATGATTGAAACGATGAAGCGAGATACGTGTCACACACTCGTAGACTTATAGCACATAGCAAATTAGGTTGGATGAGATTTAAAATACCAAAATTACACCAAACCCATTAACCTTCTTCGTCGCATTTGGGCTAAACCCACCAAAAAACATATAAAATAAATGGGTTATATGTATAATATGCTTCTTTACTATGCGTTTTATCAAACATACCACTCTACTATGTTTTACATCAAACATGTCCCTTTACTTTGGAAACATAATCAAACATGCACTTTTGTTAAAATTTTCATCCAAAAGTCATTACCCACGACCGAACTTTGGTTTGGACGACACAAATGTATAAAATATCTATAATAATTTCACTTTAGATTTTTCTTCTTCTTTTGTATAGCCAAATAATTCTAATAATTTCACTTTGACAAGTTCCATGAAGCAAACCAAAAGTCCCAGAAAGCATACAACAATTCTAGTTAAGCAGACCATAAACCTCATAAAGCATACCAGAATTCTCATAAAGCATATCACAAGTTCATTAACGCAAACGAAAAATATGTGCAACTACCACAAAACTCTCATGAAACATATTAGAAACACAAAAATTCACACCAGAAACCTCAATAAGAAAATCCATACGTATAAAGGATGACAATCAATAAAAAAATAAAATGATAAAATACATTTCTAATGGTAAAATAATATTTTTTAACAATTAAATTGTTGGGTTTTTTTTACAAAGGGGGAATGGAGGGGCGGAAGATGATTTGGAGGAAACAGAAAACACATGAGGAATGAAGGGGTGGGTAGTTACTATATATAGTAGTTCTTTCAAGCAATTCCAAATTTATACTACGTGTAGTGATCAACAACAAAGATTATTTGAGAAAAGTATTTCATGGATGTTCAAAACTTTGATGATCAACAACAAAGATTATTTGAGAAAAGTATTTCATGGATGTTCAAAACTTCATCAAAAGACAAACATCTTTTTATTGCGAAGATCTCATGGAAAGAAACTATTATGTTGTTCTTTACCAAATTTTAATGTCGACAAGATTTTTTGGCAAAACTGTAGTTGAATTAGAGAATGAATATAATGTATATATAAGGTACATGTATTATATATTGACATGTTATTTATACGTTGTTTAATATTTATTTTTATTACCTTTTCTCTAAATTATTCATTGGCAACTCCCAGAAGAAAACAGTCACTCAAACCTTTACAATATATAGATAAAAATGAACTACTTGCTTATCACACTAATACCTCTAAGTTGAGTACAACCTCTATTTAAGTATCAAATCTTATGTCAAACAAGCCATACCCTCCCGCCAACGGGCGGGGCCCTGTGCTAGTTATACTTATAACCCAAAATATTTTTCCAGATAAAAACTAATTCAATTTCTATTGGTATCGAGTGACCAGTATGCATTGCTTTGCCATCCTACATTGCATTCAAACTTCGCCCAAATAGTCTGAAACATCACCTGACATACATAAAATGGAAAAGATAGGCCACAGCATGTAAGCCCATACAAGTTACAAACTCTTTCATTCCAACAAGCAGGTAAAGATGGGCTGGGCAGGGCATGGGCAACCGAGTTACTGGATCTGGAGGCAGATATCCAAACCCTCAGTCCTATTGGCTATTCATTTCGAAGAGGAAATGGAAAATTATATATTATGGAAGCTGGGTTACAATTCTCTAGTTGCTATAATTTGAAGTCATATTAATTTTCGTCGATTGGAAGTCATGAATTCGTCTCGTTAGCTAATTAACGAATCTATATTGAGAAGCGAAGTGGTCGACTTGAGTTTATCAGTTTTTTTTTTGGTAGAAAAGAGGGACGCTAAAGGGCGCCCCAGCCTGAAACTTAGATTAACCTGTTTTGGGAAATACCCAACACGTCATACAGAGTCCAGAAGGACAGACCCGGATCTGAACTCGCCAAAACATGGAAACCTATACTAGTAGAGTGGCCTTTATTGGCAAGGAAATCTGCCACTTTGTTACATTCTCTATAGATGTGGAAAATTCTGACTTCCCAGTTCTGCTGGAGCAATCTCTGAAACTGCAAAATCAGATTATGGTATCTGTGCTCCGTCTGATCCTGCGAGATAAGTATGTTGATTGCAGTTGTGGAGTCCAATTGAAGTAGAACTCTCCTATGCCCGTTCTTCCACGCCATCTGCAATCCTCGAATGGCCGCCATAATCTCTGCCCGGGTGATCGTGCACACTCCAAGGTTCTCCACAAAGGCTCCCATTCATTTTCCCGTCCAGTCCCGGATAATGCCACCCCCAGCTGCGTCAGATCCTGGTTGCTTCACTAAGCCGTCGGTATTGACACACACCCAGTCTTGTGGTGGTGGTATCCAAGCTAGCTGCTGTGAGGACCTCTCATGCGTGTCCTTATGTGAAGCAGTGTCATTTTGCTGAGCTTGCCTGATTGTAGACGTCCAACAACCAATGCGTTGCGCCAAAACGTGGTCCTCTTGAGTCAGGTTGTGAAAGATCTTCTCATTCCGTCTTTTCCAGAGGTACCAAGCTGCCACACCGAACAAAAGCCCCTCCTGATCCCTCTTGAGATGTTCATCAAGCCAAGCTGCAAACCCAAGGCCGTAAGTTAGTGATGTCTCTTGAATACCCAGCCTGTTCCATACCTGTAGTGAACTCGGGCACTGGCGCAGAATGTGTTCAGTCGTTTCCGGTCCTCCTTTGCACATCGGGCACGTATCATCTGTCGTCAGTCTCCTCCTCTTACGCTGCACATTCGTCATCAGCCTGTCATGAAACACCAACCAAAGGAAATGTTTAATGCGATTCGGGCCTGTCCATTTCCAGAGACGCTTCCAGTGGTGGTGCCTGTTGTCCTCCTCCGCCTCCCATGTTTCGTCACTTAGCCACTCTACTGCCGCAAAATAGGCTGAACGAAGCTTGAACTTCCCATCTGGCTCCATACCCCAGGCCGTAATGTCTTCACCTGTTCCCGGCATGGGAGGATCCGTACCTGCAATCAAAGCCACCAAATTCTCAGTCAGGTGTGTCTCAATATCCTGCCAATTCCACTCACCTTCACTAGTGACCATCTCAGCAACGGTA